CCTCTACTCGTCAGCGCTTCATCTCAAACCGTGTCTTCGATGCATGGAACAGTCTTCCATCTTATGTAGTGAACTCGGAATCCGTCAACAGTTTCAAAAACAATTACGATAGACACCGCAGTGCTTGACAAATTGTTCCCATTCTGTATATGTCTACTTCAGAAGTGCTAAGATTGTCAAATTGTTATATTTCTTTTGTCTGTACACTATTATCTATTTTTGTGTTTGAGTTTATAGTACTTGTACTCAACTCAAATTTGTTGTTTAATAATAATAATAATAATAATAATAATAATAATACGTCTTATCTGGGCCTTGTATAGAGTGACGAGGTATGCGGAGAAAAGTACTTCTTAGCCCTAAACAAATAACCTAGGTTTTTCCCAGCAGCCACCGCTATTGACGAGATGTGTTGGTGCCAGATTAAGTCCTCGCTAATCTGGACTCCGATCAGTGGAAATGATCGGCTCTTTGGCAGAACTCGATCATCCATCGAAACCGGATGAGCGCTAGGACGCTTCTTGTTCATCAAGGTACAGTACTGTGTATTGGAAGCATTGAGCTGTACAAGATTGTTGCGTCCAGATTTCTCGTCAGAGAGGAAGTCCCTCTAGCTTGCCGCATGTAAAGCGTTGTCTTCAGCAAAGCTGTGGATTGGAATGATCGTACAGGAAAGGAGGTCATTGATCTGTAAGAGGAACAGTGTCGGAGCCAGTGGATGTTTCTTGTTTGGCTTCAGGGCCTCGAAAATCGAGAAAATAGTCCACCATTATTTGTGAACTGAAGCAAAGCCTTGGTCTGTTGAAAGTAGGGGTGCCACAGGGCTCAGTCCTTGGCCCTTACTTTTTTATATACATTACCGGCTTACCGGCATATGACAACAATGCCATTAACATGCTCTTTGCTGATGATACCACAATTTCCATACATGACACTAGAATATTTGATTTGGAGCAGGATCTGTTGGATGCACGGATGAGGGCTGAGCAATGGTTCCAGGCTAACACTTGTGGTGAATATTGACAACGCCCAAAAACGATTTTTGGCATCAGACCTCAGTAATAGGGCTCAGCAGACTGTCAAATTTTTAAGAGTAAGCCAAGATGCTCGCAGTAGAAGCTGTATGCAAGAGTCTGCCTTTTTCTGCTCCATGAACTTTAAAGGTCTATATCTAATGAGGTTCTAATATCAGCATACTGTAGCCTATTTTATCCTGTGATGAGCTATGGAATGATGGCATGGGGTGGAGCAGCTCATGGAAATAGAGTTGTTTGGCTTCAGAGGAGGACCATAATAATACTAGCAAGACTATCTGTTCAGGAGGAATGCACGGAAGCCTTTGTCAAATTGATCATATTGACTTTTCTTGCTGTTTTTGTTTTGGAAATGGTATTGTTTGTCAAAAAAAATGAAGAGCATTCGACTATTCAGAGTGAGTTTCATAAATATGAAACATTAAATAGAAACAAAATCAGGACCTATCCTCTGCCGGCTGCAGAAGTGTCAAAGCAGACCAGAATTTATTGCTGTCAAATTGTAGAATAAACTATCGCCGCGCGCGAAAAGTATTTGTAACGAGCCAAAATCACGAAACCTTTAATTTACTATTTTGATCACTTGCCAGTAATCTGAATCTCTCTTTATTACTGATTCCTAGGTCAAACCCTTTTTAATGATTTTCTTTTGGCAAATTTCATGATTTATTGATCTATTGAGCTTGAAAGTAGTCCTGAGAGTATTATTTCACACATATATATTTCTTTCTTAGCGACTCAGTATTGTGTTGAAGTTTTTTGAACATGAACATGAACAATGTTATAATATTTTATTAATGACTTTGTCCTGATAAAATATCGTTGGTCCCTCGTAAGGTTGGTTTTCTAAGGTTCTCGCATTGGCAACCAGCGCCCTCCTACTTTTGACGTTGATTCAAAAGTATGTGTGGGTCCTTCGTTTGATTCCCATTTTGGAATATTAGGCCCCAATCACCAGTTTGTGGACTAGCACCCTTTTTTGCACTCCTCTTATGTTTAGTTGTTTTGGTTGTTGTTTCGGTACCACTCTCTCCATTTTTATAGGATTTTAACATTTTCAGCATGGGAAGGCGTTGAGGAAAACCAGCATCGGCACTCCTCCAGCTTTGTAGCTGTTCTGTTGCCGATTTCGATGAGAAAGCACCCCTTCCTCTTAACATCTTGAATTAAATAACTTCAACAGTAGTGTTAAACAATATCTCCTCCAACTTGCTCCATATACTATATCAGAGATTTTAGATTCTGGTGTTGAATGTCCTTGTTTGTGTTACGTAGAATACTCCTTATCTTCTTACTGAACTTACTGAAGTGCCTAGTCCTGCTAAATATCTTTAATAATAGCTAAGAATAAGCATAAATCCGTAATCTTATGTTTCTTATCTGAATCTTTCTGCAATTCATGTATAAAACAGCCATTTTGTATTTGCTAGGAATGTTACAACGGCCTATGTACACTTTTATAAGAACATACCTGATCATATCTCTGGTCATAATTTGCGGTGCCACATGTCGTTTAGAGGTGTTTTCTTTGAAATAACGATTGCGAGGAATTTCAGTTATAGTTTCTAAACTACCTCAGGAAATGATAGTGTCGTTTGAATAACAATTTCTTTCAGCTCGCTCATGTTAAATGTGTCGCGTAGCTGCAGAATATCAGATTGGTATCCTTTTAAGAATGCCGCTTTCATAGAAAACGTAGCTTGTTGGTGTTTGCTATGTCTAGCAAATGGATTACACTCTGGGGGGTCTTCCAGTAAGATCAAAGTCGCTAGAGTGTTTCCACAGAAATGGGTCCGATGTTACCATGATCTCGACGTATGACCGATGTTACGTCTACATTTCAAATTGAGTTTTCTATACGCTACCGGGTCACTTCAAAGATACGCGACAAAAAAAATCCGAAAGATCAATTTTAATTTCTCTGTATTGTGTTTGATGTTTTCGAAAACTTCCTGAAGTCAATACAGGCGAAATATGATAAACGGTAAATATTAGACAAAAATTCCCGATTTGCGAAATAATTGTAAAATCTGCTTTTCTTTTTCAAATAATGGACGCATAAAATGGGTACTCCAATCTTTGTGGAAAAACTTTTTATTCTACAAGACAGAACGAGAATACACGTTTCTTGGAATTCAATAAAAAATGGTGTCAGGAACGAAAAAACTCTCCAGATAAGTTTTTTAGGAGTCTAAGAGACCTACAAAATGGGGCCACATATAAAAAGATCCGACTAATAGCAAAAAAAGTTATGGCCGAAAACCTAGTTAAAGTGCAGGTTTTGGAACTTGTTGGTAATGCAACGATATTCACAAACCATATAGAGATATACTAAGTGACATATAAATCCGAACACCCAGTTAAAATGGTTTTATTTTAATAAAATTTTGTATAAGTACTTAATGAAGCATAATAAGTAAATGATAAAAATTTCAAAATGATTGCACTGCTTTAAAGCCCTTTGACCTTTAATAATGTGTGGATGCACCCTGATGTGCTACGCATTCTCCAACGCGCCTAGGCATGCTTCTGATCAGGTGGTCAATGTCCTCCTGTGGTATCTCATTCCAGGCAACCACCAACTCCTCTCGAAGTGCTTCTAGAGTCTGAGCAGGACGTTGCAAATTGAGCAATCTCCTACACATCATATCCCACACGTGCTCAATTGGGGATAAGTCGGGAGATCTTGGTGGCCATGGTAACAATGTGACATCATTATGTTGAAAGAAGTCTATTGTGACTCTTGCAACATGTGGTCGGGCATTATCTTGTTGGAAAGTTGGATCTGCCAGGGTGTCAAGATAGGGTAAAAGATGGGGTTCTAGAACTTCGTGGATATAACGCTGCGCGTTCATGTTACCTCTGATGAAGATTAAAGGTAACCTGGAACCATAAGCTATAGCACCCCAAACCATAACTCCGACAGACAGGGTGATGAACATGTCTTTCAACAAAAAACTGTGGATTCCTCCTTTCACCACGTCGCCTTCTAACCCTGGCACGACCATCGTGCATGCCTAAACAAAATCGAGACTCGTCACTCAAGACAATACTGTTCCATTCCTGATCCCAGAGTGACCGTTGTCTGCACCACTCAAGGCGACTACGTCGGTGTTCTCGAGTTAAAGGGAGGACCCAGTGTGGCCGGTATGAAAACAAGCCAAAACTTCTCATTCGTCGGTAAACACTTCGCATGCCAATAGGTGTTCCGTGTTCTGCAAACCATTCATTTGCAATGGACCTGGTAGTGGAGAAACGGTCCCTTAAGGCCAATAATCTTAGGCGGCGATCTTCACGGTCTGTTGTTCTACGGCGGCGTCCAGTGCCCCTTGCTCTTTGCGTACGGCCTTCTCTAAGCCATGCCTGACAACACCTAACCACAGTGTCTACACTTCTTTGCACTCTAACTGCAATTGCCCGAAAACAAAGTCCAGCTTCCCGAAGTCCCACTATACGGCCCCTATCAAACTCACTAAGTTGACGAAATCGTACACGTCTCCGTACTCTAGGCATCGTAACCGATCGTAAAGGATGTCAAGAACCAAAATCCGCCAACGTTGATTCTTTACTGCGGCTGAAATATTCATTTTTAGAGCGTTAGTGAATTAAAAAAAAGCAGTATAAAAACCGGAATGTCCAACTGATAAGGCTGAACATTTTTTCACTTGTTATTTACAGTAAGATAAATACATTCACCATTTTTTATTAAAATAAAACCATTTAAACTGGGTGTTCGGATTTATATGTCACTTAGTATAGATGCGTACTATTAGCACCAGGTCGTGTCGGCATTTGCTCGTAACATTTTTGCAAAATTTACACAGTTTTAAATTTGTTTGTGTTGTAAAGTGAATAGATTAGTGTCTCCTGCTTATGGTGGTTTGAGAGCCGATCCAGGATTGTGATTCGTTCGAACCTCTATATAATCGCCATTTGTAATGGGTTTGTCAACATATAGACATACGTGAAATAAAATCAACTATTGTCAGCACATTTAACGAGAAATTTCTGCAAGAAATTATTGAAAAAATCACATCTGCTGTAGAGAGGAAGTTTGAAGAGAAACTCAACTCTCAAAATCAACAAATTAAGAACCTCACTAATAATACAGAGGAGCTGCGTAAGGAAAACGGTAGCCTGCGCAAAAGTATGGAGTCTCGGGAGCAGGCAGTGCGCAGCATGAATATACGTATTCAAGAAATGGATGTCCAAAAAGACGAAAACGTTCGGTCACGAGTTATTCGCCTATTTACGAACACATTAAAAATAAACGTCCAAAATTCTGATATAAAAAAGTGTCACTGAGTACCGTACAAGAATCCCAGAAATAAGCTACCTGCAGTGCTAGTGAGGTTTATATCGGATTCGGTGCGTTTATCAGTGCTGAAAAATAAAAAGAATTTAAAAAACTCTGGTATGTCTATAAAAGTGGATTTAACAAAAACGCGTTTATTATTACTTAATACTGCTATAAGTGCCTTTTCATATAAAAATGCGTGGGCTTTAAATGGTAACATGTACGTAAAACATAACAATGAAGTTCATCGTGTATCACAGGATGCAGACATTGAAAAAGTAATTAGCAGGCAATGAACCATAAACTGTAAGTGCTCTTTATATAATTTCTATAATGGTTTTTAGGGTTTTTGTTTTGTAAGTATTCAACACATATTTGTATATTGTTATCTTGCTTAAGAAGAATATTGTTCTCCTTTGCTTTGCAATACATATTAATTTGTAAATATCGAATGATACTGTTGTATTTTTGTGTTAAAGTATTTAAAAACTAACATAACTGGGCAATAGGCACATCTGTATACTGTATACGTGGTCTAGGTCTTATACTTGTGGCATCTGTATTCAAACTTCAATTGGAATATATATATGTTAACACAACAGGGCATTCTATGAATTACACAAGTATCAAAGTTCTTGATAAAGAAAAACACCTTTCCAAACGTTTATTCCTGGAAATGTCCCACATTTTCATGAATAACAACTGTATCAACAAAAAGACAGATGTTAAACAACTGAGTGTCATTTACTCATATGTATTTGCTAAACTGCGAAAAATTGGAGAACTTACATATCTCCCCAAATTTCGACTTTTCACAACCATAAATATAATCTGTGTTTTGGCCGATTCCACCAACAAATTTCATTCCACTCAAAATCTAATAATTCTCTTCTCACGATTTATTAATAATTGTTAATTTAAAATTCTCATTAATTAAAATATGATTTATTCAACTGCCTCTGGTCGGTTTAACAATTTCTTACATAACATTCTGAAAATCACATCTGAAGTGATTTGGCAACGTTTTGGCACACGCCCACAATTCGTTCCATCTTTCAACACAGACATTGCCAACCTTCGGCCTTCTGTCAAAGGTTCATCTCACTCATTATTCCATGACCACCATTTTGTGCAATCATCAAGTGGCTTCACGACGTAATGCTCTAATGTTTTTTAAATAATTTTTAATCTGTTTTTAACTTGTCTTGTCATATTTTATATAATTTTGAACATTGTACCATGTATCCAGCTCTCACCATATTACTGGACGTTTCCCTCATCCTATACGTAAACAACAATTAGCAACATCCTCACATACTACTGTAAGTTGAGTCAATTTAAATTCATTTTACACTTTTGTTGCTACTGTTATCATTGTAATTGCAGCTCCTGATGATGATGGCAAAGTCCATTGAAAGCTAGAGAGAATTAAAAAAAAGTATAAAGAGTCCTCTTTGCTTAAATTTTGTCGAAGTACCCAACAAAAGGCGGAAGCTTTAATTTTTCACCTATATATATATTTGTTTATTTTTTTTCTAAAACCTCTTTATACTGTTTTTCTTTTTTTAAATATTGGTTACTATGATTATATTAAAAAACAATGCTTTTAAAGTTGGTCACTTGAATGTACGATCTCTGTTCACTAATTTTAATGAGCTTAGGCAAGTCATTGAGGAGAAAGATTTTGATATTTTAATGTTAACTGAGACTTGGTTAAAAACTGTTGACGATTCTAATATATTTAATATCCCTAATTATCAATTTATTAGAAAGGACCGACTGGGTAGGGGTGGTGGAGTAGCGGCCTACGTAAAGACAGAATTTGCAGTACAAATGTTGAATTTCGAAACTAATGTACAACTTGAGTACTTTATATTTAAACTAAAAATTAATAACAAAAAATACGCTTTTTGTGTTTTTTACAGACCACCAAAGCTTAATTTTAATGTTCTTATTTCTGATTTTGATAACATATTTTCCTGTCTTTACCCTTTAATGGATGAAATTATTTGTTTGGGAGATTTTAATTGCAACTTATTTAAGCTTCAAAATCCACTATTTGAAAATTATAATCTTACGCAGATAATCAGTGAATCTACACGCATTTCTGGAACGGTTAGTACTCCGCTATTTGTCACTAACTTGTCGGTAGTGGCTAGGTCTGCGGTTTCATCGGCGGATAATATTTCAGATCATAAATTGATTTACTGCGATTTTAATGTTTCAAAGGAAAGAAAATCACCTAAAGTATGTACTTCAGTTCAGTAGTTTTGAAGAATTGTTAATTTAAAGCTTAAATAAAACTAATACGTTATTATTAGTGGAGATCAATACATTTGGCAGCAAATTAATTTAAAAAATGTTGAAAATGGCCACCATGACTCTCCATGCAATAATAAAGATTTTGCTCAAAACGTTGCCGCACATTTTGCAATATCTGAGGAGTAATTTGAAGGCACTCATTCACAATTCTTTGTCGCAGGTCTTCTAATGATGTTGGCTGAGTAGCATAGATTTTGCTTTTTAAATAACCCCACATAAAGAAATCCGAAGGTGATAAATCTGGCGATCTTGGGAGCCATTCAATGGCACCTCTTCTACCAATCCATCGATCTGGAAACGTCTGATCTAAATATTGTCGAACACGTAATGCGTAATGTGGTGGGGCACCATCCTGTTGGAACATCAACCTATTCGCGATGTACGGCCGATCATTCTGATTTTCAATTATGGCTGTTAATGCAGGATCCATGGCGTCTTCCAGTAATGCAAAATACATTTCACCGGTCAAATTTCCAGGAAAGAAAAAAGGACCAACTAAACAACAACAAGAGTATTATAAAACGAAATTAGAAATGATGCAGCGTCAGAAGCCACCTGTAACTTATGATGTTCACGAAAATAAAACTTTATACAGGGTCCGCCAAAGGAACCTGACGTTTTCAGAATGGATAGTACGGAGCTGTTTTTTGACGTAGAACATCGGTTACAGTGGACAAGAAATCGGTAGAAGATGCCATTTCAGTAGTCATGGAGCTGTGGACAAGTGAACATCGCGCATTTGTTGTCGAGACGTATTTTAAAAATCACGACTCGGTGACCATTACACAGCGTCTATTTCGTACACATTTCAATGTCGGACGTCATGGTTCTGTTCTGTAACACAATTAAGTTGTGGGTCAAAAATTTTCGTCGATCTGCATCAGCAATGAAGGCTAAGCCACCAGGAATGCGCGAACAGTTCGGACTCCAGCCAATATTGAGAGGGTGCGAACAGCGGTGCAGCAAAGTCCACGTCGTTCAGCTAGGCTACAAGCAATTAGTCTAAGGCTTTCAGAAACAACAGTGCGGCGTATTTTGCATAAGGATTTACATTATCACCCTTACAAATTAGCGATGGTTCAAGAACTGACAGCTGAAGACTTTGTGAACCGTTTGACTGCAAGCAACCAGCTTCTGGAACTTTTGGATGAAAACGCTTTAGGTGGCTTAATTATGTCTGATGAGGCGCATTTCGAGTTATCAGGCTACGTAAATAAGCAGAATTTTCGCTACTGCTGTGCAGAAAACCCGAGAGAACTTCACCAGCGACCCCTTTATAGTCTCAAGGTTACTGTTTGGTGCGGAGTGTCGCGATTCGGCATAATTGGACCCTATTTTTTTGAGGACGATGCTGGAAATTCTGTCACGGTCAATTCGCAACGTTATCCGGAAATGTTAAACACATTTTTGGAACCAGAGCTTCGTCGACGGAACATAGATTTAAATACTGTATGGTTTCAGCAAGATGGCGCCACAGCGCATACAGCACGAGCAACAATGGTTCGACTGCGAGAAATGTTTCCAGGAAGAGTCATTTCGCGGAATGGAGATGTTCCTTGGCCGGCAAGGTCTCCCGATCTCACGGCTTGTGACTATTGGTTATGGGGTTATCTCAAAAGCAAGGTATATTTAACGAGCCCAAGGACCATTGAAGAATTGAAGAAAAACATTCGCAATGAAATTAGCGCGATTCCGATGAGTATGGTACAGCGCGTAATGGGGAATGTGCGAAACCGTTTGGAAGAGTGAGTCCGCAGTGAAGGACATCATTTGACCGAAGTTATTTTCCATACATAAAATGGCATGTAATACACGTTCGATTACTTATATATGAAAATAAATATCTTGAAAGATACATTTGTAGTTTCATATTGAAACTCATCAGGTTCCTTTGGCGGACCCTGTATAACTTATAAATGCACTTTAATCAGTAAAATTATTTATTGTAATACTCAAAATGATTTCCTTCATCTTCATCTGGGTCTTGTTCAATTAACTTAAAGTCAGGATCGTCCAAGCTCTTCGCAACATTATGGAGTACAATACAAGCAATAATTATTTTAGGCACACTTTACGCGGCAAACATACTGTAGGATAGGAAACCGGCGTTACAGTTGACCACCGAAACAGCGTTCAATTATAACTCGTTTTTGTTTTAAAAGCTTATTATAATTTATTTCTGCACCTTTAGGATTTCTGAAGGGAGTCATAAGGCATGGCTCAATACCATAACCGTCATCGCCAAGAAGTAGAACATTTGCTTTATTTATTAGTTGTGATCTAGTTTGTGAATTTCTCCATATTCTGGAATCGAGCACTGATCCAGGCCAACTGGCATCAACGCTTGTGAACATCTCTTTGGCATCACAAGTGGCTTGCACATTTAAAGCAGGTTTCCCTTTTCGGTTGATATACTCGTCTCCATAACGATTTGGTTTCAGGATTCCTATATGTGTACAGTCAATTACACCAACTGCTGTCGGAAATTTATACATGCTTTGCCATATCTGCTTGGCCTCCATCAGTTCATGGTTGGTATTTGGAAACTTGATCCAGTCGTTCGACTGTACAACTATGCTGTTCACAACTCTATCCACAGTCCGAGACATCGTTGCATGACTAACACCTACCAATACCTTATTGATATCCAGGGTCGCCGAGATAGCGTAGACATATCTTCATTTTATGAATACATGAAAGTGCTCCTCCTCGAGTTTCCTCATTCTCAACTAAAAATATGTCCGCAAGCCATTGTACATTTGCTTCGTCGAACCGATATAATTTTTTGAAGTCACGACCAAGTGAAGGTAAACGAGGTTTGTACGTTTTAACATCCCTAACATCCACAATTTCCGCCATCATCGTTTGACCACCTTTCGTTAGTTGAGTCTGCTACCGATCACACTCATAATTTTTGGAGGATATGCTTCCTATGCCAACTGTAAGGTGAAGATTACCAATATCCTTTTACTTATGTCACTGATTTGAAGGATATGCTTATACTCAAAAAGCAAACGCATTTACTTCAAATTATTATAAATACCAGCTGGAGGATTTCCTTCAAAATTTGCAAATACAAGGATATCCTTTGTATTATAAATACGGCTCAATGTCACAAAAAACTACATAATGTCACTTTTCAAGATACGTAATACCCCTGCCGACAGCCCCAGCGAAGAATGCAATAGCCCAGTCGACATTGTCATAAATTTGTCATAAATTGGTTGCAAGTGTTATAAATTAGTTGACAGTGATAGACCTTGAACAGTAAGAACGGTGTTTTCGTTACAGCATGCAGCATGTCTCTTATCGATTCTAATAGCATGTCTTTGTTTCAGTTATGGTACGGTTGTGGGCATAGGCGTAGGAATAACGAGAGACTGTTCTACATTAATGGTGGCACAATATTTCAAAAGGCGGAGAGAGTTCGTTGAGATATTTATTGTGTCTGGCAGCGGGTTGGGCATATCTGCTATGTCACTTATCATCAGAACTACAATTGGGTGAGTCCTATGGATTTGAAATATAGACTTGGTTTCGGTCAGTCCCAGAGAAATAGCGTATTTATTGACGCCATTTTTATGACGATAACAAGACGTCTTTTAAAAGACTGTCATTTTGACGTCTTTTTTAGGACAGTCAGTACTGAAAAATGACAAAGAAAATATAGACTTTTAATGAACAGTAAGGTAAACTAAATATCCAAATACTAATAACTACTTTATTGTTATTATATTATAACTGAAACTTGGAATATTGGAGTTACAGTACATGGTTATAAAGGGTTCTACAACAATGCAAATTTTAACCAAAATGATGGTGTTATCATCTACGTAAATAATAATTAATAAATTCTATGTCAGACACTATACAGTTCACCGAGTGTACAGGGGTACTTACTAAGGTAAATATACATAAAATTGTTATCTAAATAATATCTTTCTACACACCACCCTCAACTGATATGAAACAATTCTTATATAGTCAACGCCAAACAAACTGGCGTGCACGTCATCAAGGTGGGTGTGTTGAAAAATTTACATTGTTGCCAAACTTTTTGTAAAATAATAAGATTTATTATTTACATATCTAGGTTTATAAGCAATATTAACCTCAAATGAGAACAAAAATAATAGTATAATAAAATTATAGATCTGTACTTGCATAATCATTAAGTATGACAATTATTGATCAGATGACACTATGAAACTACCATATTTAATTGATAGCTTAAAGGTACTGAATAAAAATCCAAATGGGGTCCTCCAAATTTTATGCATGGTATTTATTTTACAGAATTCATACAGAAAAATGCATTCTAAAATTAGGTAAGCTACTGGTGTAAGCTTTTTCTGTACAATAAAGTTAGTCGGAGTTTCTTTCTTCAGCGCTGTCTGAATCTGAATCTTCATCACTCTCAAAGTTGATTATTAAAGGTTCGATGTCTGGTCGATCAAAAATTCGGTCTCTTTCATACCATTTAAAAATTTCTTGCTCAGTATGTCGAACACTATTTTTCCACATGTCTGGGGTAACCGTTTGTAGAGCCTCGTTCCACATATCCAAACAGTCTTTTTCACTGTTACCATCTCTACCAATATGTCTGTTATAGTAACCTTTTGCTATGCCCCAAATTAACTCAATAGGGTTAAATATACAATGGTAAGGAGGCAGACGAAGAACTTTGTGCCCATGTTGTTCCGCCAATTCATCAATCACGTATATTTTAGGTGGTTTGTTTCTAAAAAAGCAGTTATTTTAAGAATAGGAATAAACAAAAGAAATATAAACTGTCGACCAAAATATATATAATTAAGAAGCATTATGTACCGAGCAACAATACTCAATAGCTCTGTTTTAAACATTGTGTTTAAAAATGGTATGTTTTGATTTGTCAACCAGTCTTGGATATTTTTTTTTTGTCCATGCATTGTTGGGCACTTTGTTCAATATCATGCTGTGATAAGGGGCGTTATCCAGTATAATCATAGATGGACTCTCCAATTTTTCTAATAACTGATGTTGAAACCATTTCAAAAAATGGTCCTGGTTCATCTCTCCATGGTAATCGCTCAATTTTGTTTTCGAAGAAAATATCGCTTCACTACCCTCAATAAACCCATTTTCATTTCCAGCATGTAATATAATGTATCTAAAATATATTAGTTTTAAATTTTATAGTGCAAATTGTGTAAAAGTACATACCTTTTACCATCTGTTTTAATAGCTTTCACGCTTTTTTGGTTTCCATTTTGCCAAGAGCGACCTATGGTCCCATTTTGAAATATCCAAGTTTCATCGAGGAAGACAAACTGGTATAAGGCCTCAACCTTGGCTTGATTGTATTGCCTTAGAAATGCCACCCTTTTCAAAGCTATACTTGGTAGTTCCATGAGCCCTCGTCGCGGATTGTCCTTAAGCCACTTAAATCCAAGATCTCTAAGCAACCGCCTTAAAGACGTGGCACTACCATCTAATAATGCCCTATCTCTTAATCGAGACCATAAAGTTTCTATCGTAACTTGTTCTTCTGAAACCATGTGTAATATGACATTATAATTTAGTTAACAAATTAATCCAAATTTCTGATAAGTTATTATAATAAGATCTTACTTTTGTGATACATATTATAGATCACTTCTCGAATGGCACTTGTATCCAATGTCGCTGTGTTGGTTACACGTTTAATATAACTCCGCTTTTTCTTGGGCGATTCTAAATTTGCATCACTTTTCACACCCTCGGAAATACGACTAACTGTCCTTAAACTATTTTTTAAAGCAGCAGCAACACGCTACAAAAAATGAAATAAAATTTCACTATTATTAATATACATTACATATAATTATTAGTAACCTACCTCTTGAACAGCATTTAAAGGCAACAAAGGCCCGTTGTTGTCCCTTTCTTGTTCAAAGTAGTGCATTAACGAGGCCACGAGTTCCTTACACCGACTATTTAACTGTTTGGGCATCTTTATATACCAAAATTGCCTTTATCTACTCGTAAAATGAATAATTTTGTTTTGAAACAAACAGTTGTTGATTTACAGTATGCGGGGCCAAAGGATTTATAAAGATTTGAAATGCCACAAATTGATTCAGTGTCAAAATTAATACAAATGTCAGTTCCCAGTTTAAATAAGTTTCAAGGTGACAATGTGTCAACGCTGCGAAATCGGTTTAGTGCGTTTACATGTCGATAAGTGATTGGAGCGTTTGCAAAACATTTTATTTCGCATAATGCGTCTAAATTTATCAGAAAGCAACTTATGTGATATTTTAATAACAATGTTTATATGACTATTAATCATAATAAGAGAGTAATGATCATTTTACAATTTATATATCACATTAATATGAAACTGCAATAGAGCAATTATTTGTGATAGAAACCTAGGCATTAGGTCGGGGAATTTTTATCGTGATGACGTGCACGCCACTTTGTTTGGCGTTGACTATAAATACAGACTTCTGCATTTTAAATGGAGACTTCAACATAAACATCTTAGAGAGTAACAATTTGCTTATTCATGAATATCTTAAAATGACTAGAGTGCTTGGCGCCTCATGTACTTGTATTGACCACATTTTTTTAAGCAGTAAACAAGAAAATCATAATTATAAAGCTTTCATAATAACATCAGATTTTACTGATCACTGATCACAAGATTTTGTACATACTAACCCTGATAAAGCGAAGTATAAAGAATATACAGGGTCACTTCGAAGTTGAGTCATTTATTTTAACAGTGAGTAGATCTGATCAAAAGAAATGTTTTTTTCCTTTACCATTTTTCTGGTAAAATTAAAGTAACAAAGTTATAGCCCTTTGGAAGTTTGAGTACCGCCCTGTCTCAATAATAATATTATGTGCTCGTGTTTGGTTCATCGCATCGGAAACAAAAAAGCGAAAGAATTTGGAACGATGTTTTTACAATTATTTTAGTCAGTTGTATACAGTCAGTGTCAGTCGGTAACGCGTTTGAATAGTGGTGTCTGTTGCGTGGCTCAAACGAAATAAAAAATGGCACATGTTTATGCGGATCGGTTTCCCAATCGAGTGCAACCAACCCCTCGTGCTTTTGTTAATGTATTACAACGGGCTCGTGAATCAGGTGACTTAAGACCACACAGGGGACTGCATGCCGGTGCTCCAAGACCTCACGATCAAATACAGGTCCGCACTGAAATACTTCTCGGGAGGATACTTTATAAAACAAGGTAAAAAATTTTTTTTAATTTTTTTTTATTTTTACACACATATTTTGGTTTATCTTTCTTCTACGATCATTATCTGAAAATTAATGACTCAACTTCAAAGTCACCCTGTATAGACTATGAAAAATTAATAATAGACTTAAAATCTGAAACCTGGAACAACTTATATAATTAAGAAATATTCACGCAGCAACTGAATATCTGACTACAACAATCACTGAAAGTATATAAAAAAATACCAAGAAAATTTAAATAAATCCTAAAGATAGTACAAGAAAAAACTGGGTAACTGCTTGACTAATTAAATCAATCAATGAAAAAACGAGAAATATAAATTATGTAAAACAAATTCAACAGACGAAACAAAACAAAATTATTTGTACTATAAAACTAAACTCTGCCAATTGATCAACGCTTCGAAACAAAAATATTACACAGAAAAAACACAAAACAACAAATCTTACTCTAAAATGCTAGGTAATACTATAAATCAAATATTTAATTCATCCAAACCTAAAAAAAAATTGAAGAAATAAACATCCATAATATAACACTTAACGCAAGTAAAGATATTGCTGATGCATTCAATAATTACTTTATAGAAGTAGGGGAAAAATAGAAATGCAAATAAATAAACCTAACACAAAGATTCTGCATAGAAAATGTATACAACAAACGATTTTCTTAGAACCTGTGTCTGAAAATGAAATAAAAAATGCCATACACAGTTTGAGAAATAAAAAAAGTCCAGGTCTTGATGGTACACGATCAGATATGTTAAAGAAAATTTCATCCGAAATTAGTAAGCCCTTGACGGACATAGCGAACTTGATCATTGAATCGAAAGAATTTCCAGATGATTATAAAGTAGGAGTAGTTAAAGTCATCCACAAATCCGGTGAAAAAAACAGATACTAACAATTACAGGCCTATAACTCTAATATCCAGCTTTGCAAAAATTATTGAGAAAATTATAAATACACGAATTTAAGTTTTTTTGATAAACATTATCTGATTAATGAAATACAATTTGGATTCCAGCAAAACAAGTCTACCCAAGACGCAATTTCTTTTTTGACATCAAGATTATACAAATTACTGGACCAAAGTGAATATATCCTGTGTGTGTTTTTAGATCTAGCAAAAGCATTCGACACTTGCTACTATTAGAAATCTTACACGACTCAGGAATTAGAGGCAAGGCTTATAACCTCATGAAAAATTACCTTTCTAACAGAACACAGTGCGTACAAATAAATAATTCCTTAAGCACAAACAAATTGATAGCGTTTGGTGTCCCACAAGGACAGTGCTATGCCCCTTATTATTTACACTTTACATTAATAGCCTGCTGAGCTTAAAATCTGAAGGGACAGTCATGTTTTGCAGACGATACTGATATCATTTATTCAGATAACACTCGTGGGATGATTTAAAAGTGAAGGTTGAAAGAGACTTAACAATAATTGCAGACTGGTTCCGACATGTATGCCTAACTATTAACTTACAAAAGACTATGTTCATGCCATACACAAATCACAGAAACAAAAGACCGTCCTTTGTATCTATACAGATTAACTGTGATAATATAGATACTCAAATAAATTTAACAAACAAAATAAAATTTTTAGGGTCTGAGCGTTTTTCCAAAAAAAACTGAGCTGCCAGTAAATGCGTCTGTTTCGTTTTCGATGCGCCACCCTGTATGTATGTACAGCTTTGAATGTGTGTATGCATATGTGTATATGTATATATGTATGTGTGTATGTATATACAGGGTTATCCAAATTAAGTGTCCACCATTAGTAACTTTGTTATTAGTGAAAATACAAAGTTGTTTGAATTAGCAAACTAGAAGCATTTTTAACGCTGGTAAAAATGAGAAATAAAAAAAAACAATTGAGAGTCGTTATTATGATTTTTTTCAGTAAAATAACATTTTTTTAAATGGAAACCCCTGTATATTATATTTTTTTCTGTTAAAGCATCAAATTTTAAACAAAAAAGCTCACAATAACTTTTCTCCTAGGTTACAAATTGTTGAAGTTATGGCCTCCAATCTGAAACAATTAAATTGTATCGACAAACTTTATTTTCAACATCAACTTATAATCTTACAAAATACAATAACAATTTTTTTTAAACAAGATGCTCGAAAACACCACCTTGTTCTTCAATACATTTTTGGGCACGTTTTTCAACTGCTCGAACTGTCTTAAGTATGGTCCTACCATCTATCTGGGTTATCTTTTCCCTAACTGCAGTCTTTAACGCGTCAAGGTTATCGTACCTTCGCTTGTAAATTATGTTTTAAAAATTTTATGTTGTAAAATATGTTTTCATAGCCGTCTTAATATTATAATACTGCAAATAATTAAAAATATTTATCGTTATTTTGACTTTATTTTTGAGTTTAGCGGAAAAGTCATTATGAACTTTTTTGTTTAAAATTTGATGCTTTAACAGAAAAAAATATAATATACAGGGGTTTCCATTTAAAAAAATGTTATTTTACTGAAAAAAATCAAAATAACGACTCTCAATTGTTTTTTTTATTTCTCATTTTTACCAGCGTTTAAAATGCTACTAGTTTGCTAATTCAAACAACTTTGTATTTTCACTAATAACAAAGTTACTAATGGTGGACACTTAATTTGGATAACCCTGTATGTGTATGTGCATCTATTTATGTGTTTATTTATATGAATATGCATATATATATATATATATACAGGATGACTTCGAAATTGAGTCATTTATTTTAACAGTGAGTAGATCTGATCAAAAGAAATGTTTTTTTCCTTTAACATTCGTCTGGTAAAATTAAATTAACAAAGTTATAGCCCTTTAGACGTTTTCACCTTAGATTGATATTCCCACAAAACCATTTAGGTTTTTTGATATCCATACATCCATAAAGTTGAATATTTTTCGTTGTTCAGGAACTGAACAAACATCCACACTATATTCACAGCGATTAATAAATTCCCAAATATACGCCTTAAAGCTACCATTAAACCTAAAACCTACAAAAAAAAACTACAAATTTGCCATATTTTTCTTTTTTCACGAGTACACATTCTAGGTTATATTTATATTAGGCATTATTTGAATACAGCTGATTATTGCATTTCAAGGAGTGACACATGTGTGGGATCTGTCAACTCTTGGTACCAGATACAAAACATATTATACCTTGAAGGTTTAATTCCATGCTATTCAGTGACAACACGGTGACTTGTGTGGTTATCAGCGGCCATTTTATGAGGGTGCGACAGGGTTGCCAGATTGTGCATTAATATCCCGTTTCACCCTCCTGGTCCCAGTGGAGTAAGTTCCGCCAACTGTTGAAATATACTCTACTATGCTTTATAAGAGGATAAGACATTTTTCCCAAAATCATTGCACAACTCTTGAAAAAATGAAAATAAAAAAAAATATTTCCATGACGCCGCAATATAGCTCCGTCGGTACCTTGGGTTATTCATCTTGACAGTAGGGATGTTCGATATGATCCTATATTTAGAAGTATCAATACATTTCACGAGTATCGTCATCTTTCGATGCGGACTGTGTCAGAAAGAGTAACTACCATTTGGCTGCGTCATTACCCTGCCAAATCAGACATATCTTTAGGGCAGCGGGTTATGCTATAAATCATATGTCACAGTGTTTGTGCACTGATTGCAACGGTTAGATGATACCAAAAATATTTTCATAAATAGGAGATCTTTCCCATTCCGGATCGAACAATCTACCAAAGATGCTTATAACCATGATACCTAGTAAATTTTCACGAAAAAATTCAAAACCAGCAAATGTAAAAGACTTAAAAGCCATTATATTTCGGGATCCAGTCCTCCATATTACATAATTGTGTAGTAGTGGCTTTCCATACTTTTTATCACGTAATATTTTCGGACTGGACCCTCATATAATTACGATCGAACTTCAGGTAAGTTCGTTTGATCGATAAATTATCTGTGAAACATTTTTCATAATTTTTTGTCTATGTCCATAGTAATTGCATTATGCATCAGGGAGATGTAGGGATTGACACGTCTTACACATATTATCTGTGTTTTAAGATAGAGAGGAGATAATGTTATTATTGCTTTGAAGAAATTCATTAACCCATAAATTAATAAATGATTACTATTATGACGTAAAGGAAGATGAGGAATTGGATGGAATGTATTTTATATTCTATTTTCTTGCAAAATATAGACAAATCCACACTATTCAACGGTTATGTAATGATAAGTTTCAGTATATTGAAGTTGGTAAATTCGAGAGTGCCATGCATTAACAAACGTCCAAATCTGCTGCTAAATTTAACAGCTAGAAAATCGACCTATTATTTGCCGCATTCCCATTCGCTAAGCGGATACCGGATTGTTAAATGTAAACCTATAACATATATCAAAATACATGAAAGTTGTCCTGTTTTTTCTGTACAAAAGCATCATGTTGGAATCAAAAAGTGGTCTTGTTTATAATACAGTCGAATTTTCACGATTTTATTCCATATTTCAATAGAAATCACTAATATTCAGAGACCTTTGACAGCTTCTGTCAAATTGCATTTCGATAAGGTATTTTCCCATTGGTCCATAATATTAATGTTGGTGAAATCGGCCCTAAGTTTTATAATGTTATTTAGTTATCAGGTTTTTATTGGCTTGCACTAGTTTCCTAATGGGATCATGTCGAAACCATAGTCTAATAAAAAAATATATATATAAAAAATAAATGTTTTTGACTTTTTTGTCTTTTAGGAAGCCAATAGAGTGAGATTATTTGATTTTTACCTCAATTTTTTTTATGTAAAAGCTTTCAGGAAACAAAGGGTTAGAACCATAACTAATCAGCATCAGTCCAACATAAATCTTCATAAATTGAATTCCAGAAATCAGAGGGTACAACAACAAAAACAGTTTACAACATCGGTGATAAAATTTGTTTCACGAACATCTGCGGATTAACAGCAACATTGATGCTATCTAGAAATACCGCCGTGCTTTTCTTGACGGAGTAAAAAATCTTAGAGTCTTCCCTCCGCAAATTACGGGGTATACTCCAATCTGAGAAAAAACAGGCAAGTTGTGGGTTTTGTCCGCAGCAGTCTACCCTGCTCCAAAGACGTTTCCTTGCTATCAGACCGGAAGGACATTCAACTTCAAAACATCCTCCAAATTTATTTGCTGCTGCTGTTTCCCCTAGGTAATTCAGACCACGGTCTTGTGGAGGTTAGGTTTCGGCCACAACCCGCTGTGGCAGTAGAAACTCGCCCAGGCCGCAAAATTTGGCATTACAGACATGCCGACTGGGAGTGGCTCAGAGACCTCTTCTCCACCTTTCCTTGGAGAGATGTATATTTACCTGGCGCGGATGCCTCGGCTGTCTGTTCATTGATAATCAAAATTATCCATGTTGGGATAGAGAAATGCATCCCTCATACAGTGAAAGTGCCTAAACCAGGGTCCAACGGCTGGTTCAACAGCGTGTGGCACTGCCTCGAGACCAGAAGATCAAGGCACACAGAACCTTCTTAAAAACCCCACTGTAGAGAACAGTTAAACCGACGACTGGTCCAGAAACAAATATAACAAAGCGATTAGTAGGCATAGTCTAATGGCGCAGCGCAATGGCAGTACATCTATCTGGACGCAGGCCAAGCAGATTGAAAGGAACTTCTCACATAGTATCCTTCCACCACTTACTTGGAACAATTGTAAAGGACTCAAAGGCTATGGAGGAAGTGCTTGCCAAGATCTTTGCTGCCAACTCCACCATGGACGTCCCACCCAACGCCCATGTACCGTCAATTCAAAGGGTTCCCTACACTATGCGGGATGTAACATTCAGGTATAAGATCGTAAGGCGAGTGCTCTTGTCGCTCGACATGAACAAAGCTTCTGGTACGGACTAGATTCCAGCCATTGTACTGAAGAGGTGTGCAGCAGAGCTTGCTCCAGTTATTTTGAACCAACCAATTTAACTTCTTGCTCAAAGTTCTATTAGGGCCCTAATTTGGTACTTAGTTACCAATTTTTGACAAAGGATTCAACTCCCAAGACAATTCTACATTTGACGAAAGCATTCAAGGGTATAATCACTAAAATTTTACAAATATAGGTAACTTTTTCTTGGGTGGTAGCCCATTTCAACACAATGCTAGTTGGGATTAGATTTTGCAATCATTTCAATCCATAAATAGAGGTAGTTATTTAATATTTTCGAAAAACAATAAGTATTACCCATACATTAAATAAATCGATATCGAAAACATCTTTAGGTTTATTCTCGAAGTACCGGAATCCGATGCGCAAAGAAAGGCGAGTTTTGAGACCGCTCTTTGTTGCATTGGAAACGTACCTTATCAGTGCCAATATATCGGGATTTTCTGTAAGATTACTGTAATTTCACTACGTTTTGCAGTTATCCTAGTTATGCGTACCATCCATTGAAGACAACGATTCAATAGAAATAGCCAAGTGCCTGACTGTAATTATCAGTTAATTGGTTACAAACGGATCGACGTAGTATACGACGAAATCAATCAGTGATTTAACCTGTAGTTCTATTACGATGAATGATGCTTTCTCACGAACCCAGTTGGACGGCTCGTACTGATTGAAAACCGGCCGACGACTGGTACCGCCAAATAGGAACTGCCTCGTACCGTTATAGATCAGTGAATGTGTCTCGAGAAGAGCTTTTAGCACCGCGGACAGGTCTTGGAGAAAATAGAGTACGACTTGTCAGCGTTACAGGAAGACCAAATACTAGACTTTCGCATTTTATAAAATGTACTCACAAAACTAAGTACGGCGTTGATCATGACAGCCTCGAACTCATTACATCACATCTCAGTGACAGAAAGGAGTACGTCGACTTACAGTGGTATTGCTGTGAGGTCCTGGAGATAAAGCAGGGGGCCCGCAGGGTACCGTTATAGGTCCCACGCTTTTTATAATATTCATAAATGACCTGGCTCAGAAAGATGAGTTGAACACTGTTTACTTTAATTCTTACCTGTCTTGAAAACTAGTTATGAAGCTTCTATCGGTTTTATTTCATGCTTAGGAGATTTTCTAAATAAAACGAACACGGCAAAATATGGCTCAGATCAGGCTATCACAAATTCGTCAGACTTGAGGGACTTTTGCTGATACGGCGTCTTTTCAATATCACTAAATATACTAAGTGACATATAAAATGCAACACCCAGAATTATTTATTGAATTTTGATAAAAACTTGTAAACATATTTGCTATCATGGAAGTGTACGCTGATAAAATGTTGAAGGCATTTCGAGCCGCACTTTCAATATTCAGTGATTTTTCTGTTCCATTTGTTTCATTGATGTATCATTGCATTATCATGCCTAGAGTTCGCAGACACTCGACTTTCCGAGTTTGAGAGGGGTTACATTACTTTTTCAGCAGGACAATGCACGACCCCATGTCGCACGTGTTAGTTTAGACTTTTTAGAAGCGTCCGGAGTTAATCTGCTTCCTAATGGGTGATTTTTTTGCTAGTATCTTTTTGGCAACACTGTTTTTGACAGATGACGCGTGAATCGTGTCTTGTGTCATTGTCAAACTTGTTCAGTTTGGTCTGTAATTTAACCAAGAATCGACTTACGAACAAACAACGCTTGCAAATTATTGAATTTTACTATCAAAATTCATGCTCGGTTAAGAGAGTGCACCGAGCACTGCTTCCAATTTATGGGCAATTTGGTCGGCCTACTGAGGGAACTATTCGGAAGCTTGTGACTAAATTTCGAACCCAGTTTACATTATTGGACATTAAACCACCAACACGCAGACGTAGAGTGAGGACAGAAGAAAATATTGCTGCTGTATCCGCCAGTGTTAGTGGTGACCGTGAAATGTAGATTCGCCGCCGTTCGCAGCAATTGGGGGGCCTCTGTTACTCCACTACGTGGAAAATTTTGCGACAGGATTTGGGTGTAAAACCTTATAAGATACAGCTGGTGCAAGAATTGAAGCCACACGACCTCCACAACGTTTCCCATTTGGTGAATGGGCGCTGGCAAAGTTGGAGGAAGATCCACATTTTTATCAAAAAATTGTGTTCAGCGAGGAAGCTTATTTCTGGTTGAATGGGTACGTTAACAAGCATTGCAAGAGCTACCAAAAAAATCGCTGTTTGGTGTGGATTATGGGCCGGTGGCATCATCGGGCCGTACTTCTTCAAAGACGACAATGGCCGGAACGTAACTGTGAATGGCGAGCGCTACCGTGCGATGATAACAAACTTTGTTTTGCCCAAAATGGAAGAGCTGGACTTGGCTGACATGTGGTTTCAATAAGACGATGCCACATGCCACACCGCACACGAAACAATGGCCCTATTGAGAGGCGAGTTCGGTGAACAGTTTATCTCACGTTTGGAGCCCGTCAATTGGCCGCCTGGATCGTGTGATTTAACGCCGTTGGACTATTTCTTGTGGGGCCATGTTAAGGCTAATGTCTACAGGGATAAACCAGCAACGATTGACGCACTGGAAGCCAATATTGAAGCATTTATTCGTGAGATACCGGCCGATATATTGTAGAGAGTGTGCCAAAATTGGACCTTGCGCATGGGCCATCTAAAGCGGAGCCGCGGCCAACATTTACATGAAATAATCTTTAGACATCAATCAGCTAATCCAATCAATGCCGCTACGACTTAACGCATGTCTAGCGAACAGAGGAGCTTGAGTATATTATTAACATTAAGGTGGGATATCTCAGCTGTGTTGCGAAATTTCGAGTTAAAATATTCTATTTATCAGTAGACCTAAAACTTGTAAACGTATGCTCAAAATTACAGCACTCCTAGTCGGTGTTGTCATTTAGTACCTAATCACCTAAACCTGTTATTTGCTGTCTCCTGAGACGCAATAAGCTATCGAGAAAATTGCTGTACGTACTTTTTCGCGATGGTTTTGATGTGAAAAAGGAAATTTGCTTTATCTGGGTTTTCCCCAACCAAGAGCGTGACACAGTGTACGTCAGTAGGTGTCCATCGAAGGCACAACAGAATCCAGGAATCCAGAAAGATCGGAGACAATAGTGGATTATGATCCTGCTATGCATACAGTCCATACAAATATAAATACGTTACCATTCCCCAAACATTTTTTTTAATACGATATATTCACAAAGTTGTTTTTATATGGCTATTTGAGCCAAGAGTGACTCAATCATGATCCACCTGATCCTTGATATAAAAAATATCATCAATCTGTTTTTGTTTGATCGACGAGTGTTAATATACTAAGTGACATATAAATCCGAACACCCAGTTTAAATGGTTTTATTTTAATAAAAGTTGGTGAATGTATTTATCTTACTGTAAATAACAAGTGAAAAAATGTTCAGCCTTATCAGTTGGACATTCCGGTTTTCATACTGCTTTTCTTTAATTCACTAACGCTCTAAAAATGAATATTTCAGCCGCAGTAAAGAATCAACGTTGGCGGATTTTGGTTCTTGACATCCTTTACGATCGGCTACGATGCCTAGAGTACGGAGACCTGTACGATTTCGTCAACTTAGTGAGTTTGATAGGGGCCGTATAGTGGGACTTCGGGAAGCTGGACTTTCTTTTCGGGCAATTTCAGTTAGAGTGCAAAGAAGTGTAGACACTGTGGTTAAGTGTTGTCAGGCATGGCTTCGATAAGGCCGTACGCAAAGAGCAAG